CTCATGAATGTTGTTCCATCCCAACAAATCCCTTCAACAAATCCAAAACCCAGTCAGACGTGGGTTCTTATAACAAACGTCCGGGGTGGTACACACGCCTAATAAGGAAGCATCAGAATATTTTTGCTTATTGAAAAATGAAGCTATTTTGGTCCTTCCTTTTTAGACTGGCTGCCAACCAGGACCTGGAGACATGCAGGCTGCCATCTGCTTCACCCCAGCTGTTCCTGACCTGCCATCCGTCCCCAACCAGGGATGCCTTATATCTGCCAGGTCAGTTAAGCAACTGATGAAAGATGCCTGAGACCCAAGTATAGTGTAGATGAATGTATTGGCAGCCACACATCCTGCAACACAACCCTGACTTCCTCTCATTAATGGATGGCGTGCCACTCTCCATGACAACACAGAGCTGTATTCTGAGAAAAACAGACCTTCTCATGGAGCTCGGCAACCATCTTTTCTTATTGCATGATAATTAATTCAGCTAAAAATCAAAAGGTTACTTAAAAAAAAAAAGTTACATCCTTAAAATAGAATGTTATATACGTTAGAGATTCCTATCACTGATCCTTCAGAAATTGCCATTATGTTGCAGATGAAATGATAGGTCCTGATTATAGATGCTCTGATAGTAAGAGGAGGAACACATTTAATTTCATGCATCTCTAAACTGTCAAGACCCAAAATGATTTGAAAGTATAAATAAGCCTTAAAAATGTAATTTGCAAGCATTCTCAGTGGAGAGAAGGATACCACAAGAAAAGAAGGAATTTTTATGGCTTGAGTTTGCATTCTCTTAATGCAATAATCAAATACTCTTACAGGATTTGTTAAAGCTTGTTAGTACCATGAACATAATGGCTTTTATTGATGCTACATTTTACTGATGACACGCAGTTTTATCTCCTGAAAAGGGAGACACAGAGCCTGCCTTTGGGCTCACCTGTATGCATGGGGCAGTACACATGGACTTAGTAGATGCTAAGCTCTGAACTACTGACTGGTTGGCCCAGGAAAGTGATGCTCTCCACAAATGATGAAGGAAAACTCTAGATAACCTCACTATAAAATAATATTGACCTCAAGCTGACAGATCCCAAAAGGGGATTTTTGTGGAGAAAAAGCTAAGATCATGGTTCTTAGAAAACCAACAATAAGAAATATATGGGAGCCCTGATTGGTTTGGCTCAATGGATAGAGCGTGGGCCTGTGGACTGAAGGGTCCCAAGTTTGATTCTGGCCAAGGGCACATGCCTGGGTTGCAGGCTCGATCCCTAGTGCAGGAGGCAGCTAATCAATGATTCTCTCTCATCAGTGATGTTTCTATTTCTCTCTTCCTCTTTAAAATAAAATATATTTTTTATTTTCTTCTGCTCAAATAAAAATGCTCTAAAATCTGGTCTCCATGGAATTTTGATTTTCTTCTGCTCAAATAAAAATGCTCTAAAATCTGGTCTCCATGGAATCCTTTGTCTCGGTTTCCTTACTTTTTATTATTTATCTATGCAGAAATATGCCTTATTTCCCACCTCTTAGTCATATCTATACATATTTTATAATGTTCCTGGGTCAGGTCTTCTTATTTTGTTTACTTATTACATTTTTATTCTTATTTTAATCATGTTTTCTTTATTTTGTTACAGTTCTTAGCATGCCTTTTTTTGTGTGTAGCTTTTATATTTTATTTTACTTTAATTTAGCCCTTTTACTGTTTTTAACCATCTTTACTCTTGGTTTATTTCCCCTTTAGATTACGTAGAGTATTATCAGGCCAGGTTTTTTTTTTTAATCATCAACCTGCATAATTTCTGGTATTAACTGCCTTAATAATCTTTAATTCATATTATTCTTTTGTTTAAAGGATCATTTCCCTTTTCTTGGTGTCTGTTTCCATGCTTTATTTGTAAGTGGCAGGACAGAAGTTGATCATAGATTTGTGGGTCGTCCAGAGAACAGCACAGCCAAAACCGGGGTGATTAGATATTTATTCTCCCTCCTGCTGTCTAGTGAATGACCTTTCTAACTCTCCTTAGAAGATCCCTGAGACTCTACATGTTCAAGCCCCTGAACTTTGAAACCTGTGTACTTCAGGAGATTCAAAGGCTGAATGTCTGTCCTGGGGTAACAGGATAACAAGCTGGCATCTGCCAGCAGTATCCTGAATCGTTGAAACTTGGAGCTGCTTTCCTGTGCACCTGCTATACAATGGCAGAGACTCAATCAGCTCTCCATGGATCATCTGAGATTTCCCAACCTCTTTGGCTCTAAAGCTCTTTACACAGCCATTGTGGATACTTGATCACTGGAAGATAAGATGATGTAGCAGCTACAACTTGCACGCAGTGCCTGTCTCTACAGGCTAAGGCAGGGAAAGAGTTGAGCTAATGATAGAGGTAGCAGCCAAAAGTCCTGCTGTGGGCCTTCCCTTCAAGATGGTACTGCCTAAGGAATGAGAGATCCTCAAGGCAGATCAGCAAAGAGCTGTTAGTTGAAGGATTAGGAAAGTGCTTCTATATTTCCTCACCCTAGACCTGTGATTTTTAAGTTGACTCTAAGGTGTATAAAGTCACCCAATGTAGGGATGGATGTGGCATCATAACCATTGCATGCTGAAGACCTAACAGGTAGAAATACTTCAGGCACTTGGTGTCTTCAGGATTAATACTCCTAATTTCAATCAATGGAGATAAAACCCAAGAATTCATAATTGTAACTTTATCTAACATTTGAATACAACTTTAGGGAGTTATACTTAGTCTCATATACGTATAACAGTCATCTTAAGAAATCAAAAAAATGTTTCTTAAAAAATAATCTGAGAAAGAAAGGGAATTTTCTTAGAAATGGAAGGGCAGAGAAAGAACAGAAATGAAAAAGTGATGTCATAGTTAGAACTTGTTTTAATGAAGCAAAGGAAAGGATGACAAATTAAACAGTAGGTCAGATTTAAGATAGACAAAAGTCTTCTGTATGACCTATATGGAAAGAGGAAAAAGGGATTTTAAGAAACTTTCAGTAAGACTCTAGGCCAAACTGGGGGTCATGTGAAGATTTAATCATGGAAGATCTTAAAGGTAGGACAAGTTTCTCAGTTAAACTTTAATGTACAAGGAGAGGAATAGGGTCACATTTATTCATCACTGCATGTGCTCAGTGCTCAGTAAACACTAGTTGATGTTGAATCATTGAAATCAGTTCTATGTTACAGACATACTTTGGGACAAAAGAAAATCTGAGACATATTTCTTTTAAGACTATGGCACTGTATTTTATGGGGTGGATTTCTAATTGTTTCTATTTAGAAGTTGAAACTATTTTTTACATTTTGTCAAAAGCAAAGCAAAAGGATGAGAACTGGGCAGATGCCAGCCAAATACACCTTTCACCATAGGCAAAAATAAGTATCAAAGGAGCCCCATAGGCTAAGAACCACTAAAGGAAGACAGAACTTGCTGTCCTCACACATTCATTTATATTTAATTTTTTTCTTTTTTAATATATTTTTATTGATTTTAAAGAGGAAGGAAGAGAGGGAGAGGGATAGAGAGATGGAAACATCAATGAGAGAGTCATTGATCGGCTGCCTCCTGCACATCCCCTACTGGGGATAGAGCCCACAACCCGGGCATGTGCCCTGACCAGGAATCAAACTGTGACCACCTGGTTCACAGGTTGACTCTCAATCACTGAGCCATGCCATCCGGCCATTTATGTTTATCTTAATGATGGGTAGGAAAGCACTTGCAATTATGATTTCAGGACCTAAAATTTAAACTCAGGACATAGTTAAAGGCAATCGTAGATTTTAAATAAAGGTGTTTTTTTAGAGTGTAGAATCTAATCTATATGAGATTTATATTTAAAACAAAAACACCAAAAAGATGGTAGAATTCACCCAATTCAGAAAGAAAAAAGGAAAAAAAAAGCCACATTACTATTTTTAAAAGCAAATAAAAGAAAATTGAGTACATGTTCATGAAAGCTTTTAAAAATGCACCCAGATAAAAATAACTGAAACTTTCTTGATCAAAACAAAGTAAGATCAAATGGGAATTCTAATGTAATGCTTACTGGAAACACTTTAAATTCCAATCTGAGGCTATTTTTGAAACTCAGGAATTGGAACAAATTCTAAATCATATTTTTAAAACCACAACAAGGAAACATATAAAAAGTTAGTTGTAAGGTACCATTCTGACAGATATTTGAGAGGTGGAACATCAACTATAAGTCATAATTTATTTGGCCAATTATTTAATGAGCTTTAGGTCATTCCCGTCTTTTCCTGCTATAGCCGGTGCTGCACTGAACAAGCTTCTTTGTACGCATGTGTGAGTGTATCTGAACACAGTTCACAGAGCAGCTGCTTACAGCTGAGAGGAAGAATGAAGTTAACTGTGGTGATGTAGAAAAATTCTTTTAAATATAGTATTAATTCATAGTAGAGGCCAAATAGTGCATAGAGAGTATATTTCACTGTGAATAAATAAAGAGAAGAGATAAATATATAATTTTTTATCTCTCAGATTAAGAAAGAAAAAAAAAATCCCCAAGTGTAAAAATACTCCTAGTGGCCAGGCTGTAAAAACAGGCCTCTCTCATACACTACTGATGAGAATGTAAACTGATAAAACCTCGCAAGGAAACAATTTGGAAACAGCTACTGAAATTACAAATATAAATACTTATGAGGATTATGTGCAAAATTACACATGTATAATGTTATTTTTGTTATATTATATATAAAATAAAAAGAGAGAAAGCACTCAATCTAAAGATCCATCAATTGGGAAGTGGTTTAAATAATATAATCATAGTCTAGAATATCATATAGATATAAAAAATGAAAAAGCTCTCTATCTACTGATAGGAAAAGATCTCCAAAACAGAAATGAAAGCAGCACGGTGTTGAACAGTATATATAATACATACCATCTTTTGTGTCAAAAAGAGGTGTGAAATAGGAAAGTGATAGCCCAATAATATGGAAAACTTACTTGTAAAGGTAATACTCTGCGTGATCTATCTCTTCTCGAGATGAAATGTTGTCCACAAACTAAAAGACAAAAATACAAACTTTTGAATGAACACAAATTATGCCATATATTGGGTTTAGTTCACACATCGACATTAAAAAAGACAAAACACTCATTTTATTGAAACCCTTCTGTGCTAATGCAATAAAAAAATACACCATGTCTTCTCTTTTTCATTGTAGAGAACTAACTTGATCAGAAAAACTGGAAATCAAACATGAACCTTATTCAGAGCAAGTGAACACTCCTCCTTTATACTATATTATACTATACTATACTATACTATACTATTACTAATTTATAACTAGTCTTTGATATTTCCCTTTATCTTTAAACTCTAAAATTTTCTATGTTCTGAGCTCCAAATACATGGGAACACATATCTGAAAGGTTAAAGACTCTACTGGCTAAAAAAATATGCTCAAGAGATAAAAATCTAAATTTAGAGAACTCAATCTTGGAACCGTTTTTCTTATTCTGACTTAAGTTCTGCTATGGAACAGCCAACCAACAAAGTCTCCTTTCGAACCATAAAAATCTATGAGTACGCTCCTTAATTCTAAACTAAATAAGGAAACAGAAAGAGCTATTCCAAGGATAGATTCTACCCTAAAGTAGAGACTCAGAGGCAAAAGAGATGGAGTAGAAGATAACACATGTTGTGAATATCATTAAAACCTCAGAATGAGAGAGAGAGGAGAATAAAAAGGGGGAGAGTTTCTCAAAATGCCTGTGACTTATGAATCGGATTTAGGAATCTCATTAAGGGGCGGATAAACTGGTGCAAACACAGGACCTGCAGTTAAGAGCTAGCTCTCCTGACTGCTTGCTGTATGGCATAAACAGATGGCACAGCCCCTCTGGAACTCAGGTGCTCCATCTGCATAAATAGAATAAAGGCACCTGCCTCCAAGGGCCTGCAGACCCAATAAGACAATGCATGTGAACGTTTTTAAAATTCTGCCGTGCTGCCTAAACAAATACCAGGGATTATGGCAACAAAGATTTTATCCTTCATGAACCAATGACCTCTCTGTTACCCTTCAATCTGAACATTATGAGTCTATAAAACTTGTTATGACCTAGTTAAATTCTTCCCCTACTAAAAGGAGAATATCTCGAGACAAAAAGAAAGAACCCAGACTAAAAATAATGATATTTTCTTTCCTTTTCCTCTTCTAGATTTAACAGTAACCTTGAGTTTATGGTGCTATTAATTTCTACAAAGAGCTTTCACAACTATTATAAAAACTCATTTTAGCATCACATCAGCCCTGCGAGGAAAATACTATTGTCCTCAGATTGGAAATGAGGAAAAGGAGAGGGGCCCAATGCCCAATGTCACAAAGTTAATTCACGGTAAAGACAAAATCAGTTCTTATTTGAAGGAAAAGAACTTTGATGTCACAGAGAACTGGGTTTGAAGCCCAATTTTTCCACTTTTTCCATGACCTGTGTGAACTTGAGAAATTTATCAACTTGAGTCTTGCATTAAAATGGAGATAATAATGCTTCTCTCTTATGGCCTCTGTAAGAATTAATATATAAGATAATGTATGTTAAGAAACTAGTACAATAGATGGCATAGAAGGTGTTCAGTAATGGTTACTGTCAATTACTATTCCTGGTTCCTAGCCTAATATTATTCTCTCCTCCCCCGCTCTGCAGCAATTTAACATGGACATTAATATACATTCTTTTACAGACTTTCTCAGCTACCAAAAATACTTCCAATACTAACAAGTGAATACTATTCCTCTGATGGGTATATCAAGCTAAAAATAATCATGATATTATACAACAGAATACCATATCCTGGAAAAATAAATCAGATACATAACAATCATCACTGACACCAGAGTCTGATACATTTATTAGCTCTTGTTTCGGTAAAAAAATTTGCTACTTCAACATAAAACATCTATTAGTAACCACAAAAACATACTATACTCTGGAAAAATATTTTCTATGAAAAATATTATTTATTTATACAACCTCATCCATATAAAAAGCCTTTCTTGATTTCTTCCACCTTTGTCTTTGAATATACATATATATTTAAGTTTTCTTACCCGTGATATTGTTAAAGAACTAACAGGCAACTTTTTCTCGTATGTTTTATCCATTAAAGATGCCAGATCAGCTGTGGAGGCAAAGAAGAAAAAAGAACCTGTTAAATATATACATTTCTTATGGAAAACCTCACAGATACAACTCCTGCCACATGGTTGCCATCATTATGAACCCAGGATTAAAACAGATGCACTTTCTTGCTATTTTTAGACATTATTTCTGGGTAAATTAAAGAGGATAAAAAATATTGGGAATATTTAAAAATGATTTATGTAATTGCAGTAGGGTTATTTTTTAAATAACGGCATATATTTAGTTTTTTTAAATGCATCAATAAAGTTGCTCTGAAAGGAGGCACAGAAAGTGTTATAACTGACAGACTCCAGGGAAAGGAATTAGATGGTAAGGGGCCAAGGAAAGAAGACTCTTCACCGTTTACATTTATTCCTTTTGCATTCCGAACCAGATAAATATATTAGCTATTAATTTTTTTAAATTGGAATTTATCAAATAACTTTTATACATTCCCTGAAAAAATCAGAGAAGGTACCCTGGCTATTCCTCATGATTTTCAGCCTGAATTATTCCAATTCCAGTTTCTTTTAATAGAACATCCACTTGGCTACTTGGTATTCCTGAGATTACACAGTTATTTCAGAGTCTAAAAATATCTGAAATCCTAGGCAACATAAATCTCCAAATTCATTATTTCAAGTCTTCTCATACTTATAATAATGGGTCTTATTTTTCTAAGTATAAAACAGAAGCAATCAAAAGAGAACCTCATCCTCCCACCACCAAGTCACTAGGCTATCGGCATCTGTGCCCATTTACTCTGCCCACCCCCTTTTTTTCACAAAGGGCAAACTTTATTAAACAAACAACAAACAAATCCACACATCTCCCTCATTTCTCCTTCCTACTACTTGTTTGCACTGCTCCCCCCAGCAGCAAGACAACTGAAAAGAGTCATACCTGGTACAATTGTGACTACTTCCTTAATTCCACTCTTTCTTGATCTCTCTCAAATCAGATTTTGGTTTCCATCATTCCACTAACACCAATGACAACCTCCACATAGTTAAACCCAGTAGTTAATTCTTCATTCTCATCTTCTTACCTGATTGCTCATGAGCATTTAATATAGTTAACCTTCATGAAAATACTCTTTTCTCTCTCTCTTGGGCTCCTTTGCAGGATCTCTGCCTCTTCTTGACTCCTAAGTGTCTAAACAGTAGACTCTTCTCTTCACCACACACTCTCTCTGACAGCCTTAATCATCATCTACAGATTACTGACTCCACACTTGTATGTTTACCTGATTCTTGCCTGTAACTCCACACTCGTATTTCCAACTGCAAAGGTGACATCTCAATTTGAGTGTCTAATAGGTGTCTAAACATTACATGTCTTCTTCATTCTGCAGCCTTCCACTCCAAACCTGCTTCCCCCCAAGTCTTTCCCATCTCAGTAAATGACCATTACTTTCACTGGCTTTCTCAGGCCAAAAATCTAGGTGTCATTCTTGACCTCGTTGTTTTAACCAATTGTCAGCAAATCTTATAGGGTCTAGATTTTTGAAATGTAAATATATATTTCTTACCACTACAACTGCTAAGCCACCAATATCTCTCACCTCCTGACTACTCACCTTAATCCCCCACACTTACCAATTTATTCTCTACACAGCCTTTTAAAAGATAAATCACATCCTGTTATTCTCTTTCTTCAACCAATAGCATCCTATCACACTTAGGCTGAAATCCAAAATATTTCCTATGACTTGCAAATCCCTACATAGCTGGTCTGTGTTTTTATCTATTTCTTTTTTTCTCTTTTTTACATTTAAGTAAAATCCATGAAGACAAGGCTTTAACTCATGACAAATTCTCAGTCTCTAGAACATTTCCATAAAAGGCACTCAATAAATACCTAAAGAAATGAGTAAAAGAAAGGGAGTAAGAGAGGAAGGGGGGGGGGGGGGAGAGAAAAGAATGGAAAGCAGAGAGGAAAGGAGGAAAAAGAAGTAACTGGATTTTCAAGGGTATTTTTGTGTTGTTGTGGTTTTTTTTTTTTACTCCCTAGTGGAGGAAATCAGTGTCAAGTAATACAGAGACAGGTAAACAACTGACAAGTATTTGTTGAAGACTTAATGCAGTGCCTTTAACCAATTTTTTCTCTGTTCTTTCCTGGAGGTAATGATCTCAATGATTCAGGAGCTACTGGAGAAAACAAATTTGCAAATACCCTAAACCTAATATGATGTAAAAGTAATTAGCTTTTCTCACCACTATCTTGAAAGGATCAATACCAGATGATTAAAGAATGGTAAAGACACTCCCCTACACACACACACACACACACACACACACACACACACGCTAAGGCAAACTAATATTGTTAAATCTACCTGTTCACAGAATGATATTAAACAACACTTCCATGATACAAAATCTTTATAATACCTTCATGATAGAGGCCCTTGTGTTGAGATGGCAGACATTAAAGTGAATTACCTCAAATTTAAACTTCAACTTTAAAAAAGCAGAATCAGGGTCTACTGGCCTAATTAAAATGGCCTCCATTTCCTGATGGGTTTCACAGAGCATACAATGTAGAACTAAACATTGCATTAGGTTGGCTTCTCAAGATTCTATTCTAACTCTTCACATCCAGACGTCTTCAGCCAAATGAAATCAGGCTGGGGCCTCCAAAAGGGCAACAGCTGCAGGCCCAGCAGCTGCTGAATTAACATTTGCACACTGCAAGTCAGAGAGAGGTTTGCTGCTAAATATACTATGTGACCAATCACCTCCTGTGGTAGTGCTGGCATGATGAATGAGGCAGAAAAGTGCACTGAGCAGGGATGGCCAGGAAAGCTGGGCCGCTGCGGCCTGCAGAGGGCCAGCACCACAGGCTTCTGGACTATGGGCTTCAATAGCCAAAAAATCACTTTATGTGTCACTGAGGGGCCAGCAGATGCTCAGATTTTGTTCAAAGGGATGTGCTAAAGAAGATGCATTCTTGCCTGTCACTCAGCTTCTCAGGAAATATATAACAAAGACAAAGACTATATGGAAAATGGATCTGAAAAATGCTTCATTTAACAAAACTGTACAGATAATGTGGTAGTATGTAAACTATTATAAAAACAGCCTTCTTGTTTGAAGAAAACAATACCCTTGATGATCTGGGTACATACACATTGAGGACCCTACATTACTCCAAATAGCAGGGTGTACTGGTTCATAAAACCAGCTGAGGATTTGAATCATCTGAGGTCAGATTCCTAACCTCACACCTAGAGGGTAATTCTAATTCTGTCGATTTGAGGGGACATCAGAGGAATCCAAATTTTTAAACAAAGCCCCACGAGATTGTAATGCAGCTTCTTAGGACTGAAGTGGGTTTTATTTGAAAACTACCATGGGAGGAGATGGGAAGAGAAACACAGTCTTGATTGCTCCTCCTAAGCTTGAAGAATATATTAAACTGAATTTTGTTTCTGGAATAAGGGAGAATAAATATCCTTTAAAATATTCCTCCTGCTATAAAAACAAAATATTTCGAAAAATTTTCAAACATGACTGAGCTTGGTTGCACAATACTGTACATGTTAAATACTGTACATGTTTTTCTTTATATTATGTGAACACATCTCAATAAAGCTGTTACTAAAATATATGTGACTGAGCTTTCAAGAAGGTGGATGTAATTGTCAGAGGCCACAGTCAAGATGGGAGCACAAACTTTGAGTGTTTAAGGGAGCACTGATGGTAGTAGTCACCTGAGAGGATCTGCAGGTCCCCAGGGACACAGAGCTTTGGTTTTAATGGCTTATGGGGGACAGAGGACATAACCAAGGCCATTATAAGAAGATAAACTAGTTCAGAGAGCCTCAGATAAAGCCAGGACCAGGTAGGGCTACACTTGTAGTGAAAAGATGAATTAATTGGAAAATAATGCACCATGCAAAGATAAACAGCAGGGATGCTGTCCCTGAGGATTCTAAACTATAGTCCGCCCTCACACCTCTGAGGCCCAAATTCGCACTCTTCTGTTATAAAGATACACCAACCTGAGAACTTTGTTTAAAGTGGTCTAAAGAGTTGGTTTTACTGCATAAAATTCTAGAAGATGCAAACTAATCTGTAATGACAGAAAGCATATCAGTAGTTACCTGGGAATTTAGGAAGGTAGACAGAAGAGGCAGGAAAGAAGGACTGCAAAGTGATAGGTGGTGGTGGATAGGGGGACACAATGCTCATTACTTAAGATTGTGGTGATGAGCTCATTGATATATACAAGTGTACAAATGTCAAAACTTAACAAATTGTACACTTGAAATATGTGCAATTTGTTTGTGTAAAGAATACTTCAACGAAGGTGTAAAAGAAACCCTATAACTTGATGAGTAAATTGGAGCAGGTTAGACACAGGTGAGATGAGAATTAGTGAACTGAAAGATCTAAAAGAAATTATACAGTATGCACAAAAACAGGTAAAGATGAAAAGTACAAAAGAGAAGTAGGAAATAAGGCCTAAACTGCATTTAACTGAATTTCTAAAAGAAGTTAAATAAAGAGAATGGGGAGAAGTGATACATGATCAGATAATAGCTAAATAAATTTTAGAACTGATAAAAAACAAGTTTTCAGATCCAAGAAACATATACAACCTCAAATCAATTAAGCAAAACTCCACTCACACCATATGTTATAGTGAAGCTGAAGAATAAGGGGATTTTAAAAGTAGCCAGAAGAAAAAGATATGTTACTTATAAAGGAAAAACAACTACACCAATGTGTACTTTCTTAGTAGGAACACAGAAGGCAGAATAATATGCTAGGTGTAAATACGCTCAACAGAGATTCACAAATCTAGTAATCTTATCTTTTAAAATTAGTAAGAGAAAAATAAGATGTTTTTAGACAAACAGAAACTGAGATAATTCATTAGCAACAAACATTTACAAAAGGAACTTTTCAGAAATTTTTTTAGAAGATAGAAAATGATCCTTTAAAAAAGACATGAGATGCTAGAATGGCAAGTAAATAAAACTGCTTCAATCTGAGGGAAAACTGGTTATGCAAAATAGTAATGTCTTACCTGTGTTTTAAAGGATAAAACTTTAATATTAGACAATAAGTTTGGTGTGTGTGTGTGTGTGTGTATGAAAATGAGACTGAAAGAGGAGGATGCACAGAAATCAGGCCACCTCTGAAACAGCCCAGCCAGCAGATAAATGGGATGATGCCTATGAAATGCCTTGCACAGAAGCAGGCACACGGCTAGCAGTGAACAGAGATAGTTTCCTGATTTTTATCTGAGGACCTGCACTGCATGCATGGCCTGCTTGCCCCCCCCCTACACTGCAGTGCAGGCACACACTGTGAAACAGAACCGGTGTTAAGACCTCCATGGTAATGAGCAACCCTCACACTTGCGAGCCGCACAGACCTCCACAGCTCTCCCTCAAGACTCTAACAGAAACCACTAATGGACTGGAGGGGCGGCACTTAGCTGCACAAGGAGAACCCAGAACGTCTCCTCAAATCATTCACACAGATGGCAGCCGCAGCCGCAGCCCCACCTCTTCTCTCTCCCCCCACGCCACTCCTCCCGATGTCCTCCAATGGGACTCGCGGAGGATGCGTTCCTCCTCAGTCCCCCAATCAGCTAGTCCGCACCAGATCACCGCGCCCAATCACAGCCCTCCACATGCTGGGGGGCGGGCCTCCCACACACACGCGCAGAAGGCTTCGGGGCGGCTGGGGCTACAGAAAGGCTCCGCCCAAAGGCGGCTCCACCGGCTGCCAGGCATCTCCTCCGAGTCCGCACTGCCACCTACTGCCACCTACTGGCCCGCAGGCAGAATCAGCCACCCATCACCCGCCCTCACCACAGGTGCCCTCACTTCTCAGGGCCAAAGTACTAACCCAAACACTCTCATTCAAGTTAGGGGGGAAGTATGTACGGTAGTAATAGCACATAGAAGCGAATGCTTGTTTTAATCACATTCTATTGCACAGTAAGGAAAAGCATATTGTCTCAAATGCCTCTTTTCCTTCCAAGCCATTTGAGTTTCAGAATCTCCCACCTTTCTTGTTTATAGAAAAACAAGGGGCCTAGGGACTTGTTCATTCCGCATATTTCTGGAGCATCTGCGACATGTCAGGGTCTTAGCTGGGGCAGGCATTACCATCCTCCCTAACTTTACAAGTACAGGAACCGAGGTTAAGTGACAGTTTGGGAAAGCTGAAAGAGCTGAGGGTCACACCTAGATGTCTGTCTCCCAAATGCAGGCTCTTCACCACATCACACTGCATAACCAAGTGTTGTAAGAAGACAAGGCGAGGTCAATTCTATTCTGACTGGGTAGGATTCAGAGTGTACAAAGGGTATTCTAGGCTAGGTGGTGTTCAGTAAATGGTGGCTGGTACTGCGTTCCCAAGTATACTCCTTTAACAAACAAGGACACAATTATCCCCATAGACTTATTTGTTGCAGATAATTATGTTCATTTTTTGGCAAAAAGTTTTTCCTTATTCAGGAATCCATGAAAACATTCCCTTAGATTTGTCTCAGAATAGCAGACAGCTGACTATACCCCAAACCTAGGTGCCAAATACAGTAGACTCATTTACTAATCTTCCCTTCATATCTAAGAAAGTGTTAGCAATAGTTTTCCTGAAATTCTTTGTTCTCTTCTCTGTACTTTCATAGTCTTTTCCTTTAATCCACAAATAGGACATCAGAACAAGTTTTGCAATATAACTGAGTCCATCACAAGTTTCATCACTCGGCTTCTGGCTGAGCTGTGCTCCTCCTGTGGGAGCACACTGACCACCAGGGGCCAGCTCCTGCGTTGAGCGGGATCAGGCCAAAACTGCCTCTCCAACATCCCCTGAGGGGTCCCAGAGTGTGAAAGGGACCCCACAGTGCACAGTTGGGGCTGGGGAGGGACTAAGGGGGAGAAGTAGAAGTGGGAGGTTAGCCAGCTGGAGAGTAACCGTGGGAGGGCTCCAGGGCATGTCCAGCTCATCTCGCTCAGTCCCAATCGTCGGGACCCCAGGACTCCAGCAGCAAGCTAACCTATGGTTGGAGCATCTGCCACCTGGTGGTCAGTAGCGAGCGGTTGAGCAGCCTTAGTGATTCATTAGCATATTACTCTTGGATTGGTTGAATGGACAACTGGACACTTAGCATATTAAGCTTTTATTACATATGGTGTATACATATTTTCCACTGACTGGGCCAAGAAGCAAAAACTCCACAATGACAAGAGGACATCTAATATGCAGATCTTGGCTTCTAACACTACTCCCTTAAAAAGGAACAGGATGCTTTGGAAAAAGAGTTGATACTGGGCCAGAGCAGGAAAGGTACAAGATGAGCTTAGAACATTGAGAATTAGCTTGAAAGGGCTCCTACGAGCCAAATCTGGGACAAGAATGGTAATGAATCATTAGAAAGAAAAACAAGAGAAATCCACAGTCCAGAAGATCATATTGATAATGAACAGATAAATATAATTCAAAGGAAGAAATGGAAAGTAGGGAGGGCTCATGCTCACAATAGAATACTGAGTACTAACTAGTAAATGTGGAAATATTACTTGAGTTGGAAAACCATCATTTTGCAATTGTTATAGTAAAGACTGATTCAGGCAAGATGCCTCAATAGATTCTAAATCTAGGGGAAAACTTTTGCTAAACATGACATTTGCATATTAAAATATCTCTCCATAGATTGCCTATTAGTCATAATGGAGAAAAATTGTAACTCTCCAGTGGGAAAATAGGACACACTTGACAAGGTGATCAATATTAACACTGCCAATGAAGACAGATTGACAACAGGTATCTCTAGATGTGCCCTGAGAAGGACAAAATAACACTGACAATATTCTGACTGGGAAAACATATCTTGAATCTAATCATAAGGAACCCTCAGACAAACCCAGAAGGAAGAATATCCTATTTAAAAAAGGGACTAGCTTCTTTAAAAATGTCAGGTCATGTACACAAAAGCATTCAGGATAAAGAGCTGTAATCTACGTAAAAAAAAAAAAACTCTTCAAAAAGTTAAAAAAAAAAAATGTGTGCATACAGAGAATGAGAAAGCAAAAATAAATGGGTCAAAATGATGACAATATGTAAATCTGGGCTAAGGGTGAGATGTTCTTTGTATTATTTTTATGATTTTTTTAATTTCAAATTATTTCCATATAAAAAGACAAAAATATTCGATCCACATATCATATATGACATGGCAGACATCCACACTATTAAAAATACCTGTCTATAATTAACAAAACTCCATCTTACATATAAAAACAAAGCACTTTGAGGGGCATAATTTGAAAATAAGCTGAATTTTCCATAAGTGCAAATACTAAATAAATTGAGGAAAGATAGCACTTTGATTCATTCAGAACTTTACCAAGAATTGTTTACCATTTTGTGCATAAAGCTGTCAGCACCTATGATAATGCTATAATACCAAATGGTATTTGACTTTGCTAGCACACCACAACTGTATCCATCTGCATTTCTGTCTGTGGTTCACAGTCATTCTTCATTTTAGTGCAAATATGCAGTTATTAATCTTCAGATTCTCCATAGCTCTGTTTTGGCTGGCTCCTGCCCATATATCCAGTGCCAGGTCTCACAAATCAACTCTTGGCTCTCCAAGGTAGATGATAGCTAGCTATAAAAGAATCCTGCCTGCTCAAATTATGGGAACCCATAAACACAGAGACTTTCTTCTTCTTTAACATAAGCCAAAAAAAAAAAAAAAAGAGAGAGAGAGAGAGAAAGAAATTTTGGGGAAAATATTAGATCAGCACTGGAACTGATCCACAAATTACATTATCCCCATAAAACTATCACCAATTATCACAATGATGTTATCTATAAAATATATAATGTATATGTAGCATGTACATTTCTATAAACTGATCATAGTGTCAGTGATTTCTTTAGGCTTTGCTATTTTATAAAATAAGGGCTGCTATTAATGTAATATACCATAGGGAACAGGAGCTTATAATGAGGAGCCTATTGCCTGAGAAGTGTTACCCAACTATTTTCCTTAAATTTATATGAGATTATATGAGATTATAACACTGCTTTCAAACCTATCTGTCATCTGGCAATGAAACAGAGGAGAGTAAAAAAGCTGTCTGAAGACAAGTTAAGAGATGACTTAAAAAATATGAAAGAGTATTAGCAGGTTTCGCTCAGTGGATAGAGTGTCGGGTCCTGGGTCTGATTCTGGTTAAGGGCAAATGCTGGGGTTGCAGGCTTGATCCCCAGTGTGGGGTATGTAGGAGGCAGCCAATCAATTTCTCTCTCACTATTGATGCTTCTATCTCTCTCTCCTTCTCCCTTGCTCTCTGAAATCAATAAAAATACATTTAAAAAAAGAAAATATAAAACAAATTTTGCAGATAACATAAAACAGACACTGCAGAGCAACTAACTATATTATAAAATAGACAAAAACAAAAACGAATTGTTTACATAACTTAGGAAGACCATTCATCAAGGCAAAAAAGAAGTATCAGGATAACAAAAATGATTACTATAAACATGTGGAGTGACTGAAAACGACACACAGGTACCTACCGAGGTGACAGTCTTCTTTTTCTCTTGCTTCCCACTTCTGGCTGTCCACGTACGCTGCAGAAAGCAGACATCGTTTACCTGAGGAAAAAAGACAATTATCTCAACATTCATGGTTTCACACATGTTCAGTTTATATGCCCGTTTTGTTAAACATATCTTTGTAATATGCTCAACTTACGAGATTTAAAGATTCCAACATGATACTGTAACCAACATTGCACAGTTAACAATCCAGTTCCTGACAACATGCACTCAACCTCTAACAAATATAACATACAGAAAACTAAAAAGAAAAAAAACAAACAAACCAGAAAACTGAAAATGTATACAATAATGCTATGGGTAGAAATGCTGGTAATTTTGTTCCTATAACTTTAGGCCTAGGAACCATTTGTTTCTATTAAATTATAGCCGAGGTAAGCCCTAGAACCCTTTGGAACTGAAAACATTTGCTGAACTGTTGCTTAACTCATTAATCGAAAGCCTCATAATCATTAGTTGGTCCTCAAAACATTGCCATGTGACTTAGATCGGCATATTTACCCTATTTCACATAAAGCAAACAATAATATCTTACCCAGTAAACCAGCACCTTAGTGGTAAATAAGAGAAACCAATAAGCCAAATTTCAGGTAACTCACAAACTGGCATAGCTGTATTCCTAGTACCTAGCGCAAGGCCTGGCATATGGCAATGCTCAACAAATGAGCTCAAATGAAAACCTTTTGTGCTCCTAAGGACACTATCCAGAAAGTGAAAGGAAAACTCACAGAATGAGAAAATATTTGCAAATCATTTATCTGATAAGGGATTTGTGTCCTGAAAATATAAATAATCCTTACTACTCAAAATTTCAAGAGCCGAAAACGGTTTGGCTCAGTGGTAGAGCATCGGTCTGCCGACTGAAAGGTCCCAGGTTTGATTCCGGTCAAGGGCATGTACCTTGATTGCGGGCACATCCCCGATGGGGGGTGTGCAGGAGGCAGCTGGTCGATGTTTCTCTCTCATCGACGTTTCTAGCTCTCTTTCTCTCTCCCTTCCTCTCTGTAAAAAAATCAATAAAATATATTAAAAAAAAAAAAAGGATACATGCCTACACCATGGATGGATCTCAACAACATAATACCAAATGAAAAAAAAAGCCAGTCACAAAAGACTAAATATTCTATAATTACATTTATAGGAAAAGTCCATAATAGACAAATCTATAGAGACAGAAAGCAGATTAGTGGTTGCCTAGATTTGGAGGGTTAAGGTCAGGAAAACTTCAGGGAAGTTGGGGAGTAACTTACTAAGTTTGTTTTTATTTTGTTTTGTATTTTGAGGTGGTGAAAATGTCCTAAATTGACTGTGATGATGGCTAGAAGTAGGTGTTAGGTCCTTAGAGTGATGTGTGAAGGATATGAGGAGTGGCATAAGGACTTGACTTGCCATTGCTCACTTTGAAGATATTTGAGAAGGGACCATCAGCCAAGGAATGCAGATGGTGTTTTTTTTGTTTTGTTTTTTAAGATAGAAAAGGCATGAAAGCAGATTCTACATCCCTTTCAACAGTTTGATTTTAGCACAGCAAGACCCCATGTCAGACTTTTGACCTACAGAACTGTAATATAATAAATCTGCATTGTTCTAAGCCACCAAATTTGTGGTAATTTGGTAACCTGCTTATCCTGCTAGTGTGACTAAGAAAATGAATTTTAAATTTTATTTAATTTTCACTTATTTAAATAGCCATATGCAGCTAGTAGCTACCACAATGGAATAGCACGGGTGTATAACCGACTGCAAGTTCGCCAGTTCAACCTAAGACCAAAATGCTAGCTGGAAATTCTCTCCCTTATCTAATTGCCATTCTCTTGTTAGAATGAATGATGGTCCCCAAACATTCTAATGCAAGCTCAATACCCTCCCTAACAGACCATTTAAGGTCTTGTTTGCATCGAAACACCCACAAGCATGACTAAATATGCTTGTAAACAGCTACAACAGCTTGGGATGCCAGCCACTGTGCCTACCATTGCACCCAATGTGTAACATTACATATTTTTTACCACCTAGGTCAACCGGTTCATCCTCAGAAAACTTCCGGTGGCCAACTTTGTGACCTCACGTTGATATTTAATGGCTGTTCTGAAGAAGCGCGAGCAGGAGTGTCTGTGTTGCTTTCCTATAGGGACTAGAGGAGGAATGTTGGAAAGAGGAGATAGATAATAGGCACTGAAACAACGATTGGGTTATCTTAACCATATAATCATATACACGTGTCAGAAGTTAGCTTCTGAAAATGTTTTAAAATATATATTTCTCCCAATGTCTTTATCAGCAGATCCATGAAACAGGTTTTGAGTGGGCTGCCATCCACTCAGCCAAGTGCTTTAGACGTAAGGATTCCCATTCATTGTCTAACGGTAGAAGACTGGCAAAAGGAAGGTAAATCAAACGCTGTGTCCAAGGTCACAATCCGGTAAAATGAGATGGGTGCACAGAAAACCTCTCCCACCGACCGAAGACCGGGGGTTCTGGCCAAAGCGAGGCGGTGAAGGGCGGAACCTCAGCAGGGAGACACTGTCCATAGCCCCAGGGGTGGACACATCTGGGCTCTTCCGGTTCCGCAGGAGGCAACCCCCTACCACAAACCCAGCCAGTCAGACGCAAAAGCGCTCAAGACTTGACTTCCTCTGCTCTTTACACCTGTGGATGGGCAGACGGACACTACTGCTTCACGAAAGGAGACGGCTCCGAGACCCTGCCTCCCCTCTGTGCTACCGAACCTCCCAACTGACTTCGACAAGGTCCCAGAAGCATTCCCTCTCCTTTTCAAAGCCCGCCGCCCCTTTCACCCAAGGAACAGAGTACTCAGGGGTCTGACGAAGCAGCCCCACCGAGGCAGCGGCCACCCACCTGCCAGGGAGAGCCGAGGCAGCGGCACTTTCCGCGCCAGGAGGACCCCGTGCCGCACCATGGGGGCCGCCATCTTGGACTGTACCAAAGCGGACGCCGACGGGGGGAGGGGTTGCAGGCGGAGGAAGGGGCGGGGCCCCAGCGCGCCGACGCTCCGCCTCCCGTCCCCCCCCCCCCGGCTCCCGCAGTTGGTGCTGCCCGGGCCGGCATGGCTGTCGCACTCCGGCCTCCGAAGCCAGCCGTGCTGCGGGCGCTGCGGTCCTGGGTGTTGGCTGGGGTGGGAGGCGCTGGCTCCCCCTGCTGCCGCTGCCCCCTCGGAGGTACCCGCGGGCTCGCGCCGGGAAGGAGGGGCGGGGAGGACCGAAGGGACCTTTTACACACCTCGGGGGCACCACGCTGAGACATGACAGCGCCACCGGCACTTACTGGCCTGGGGCAGCCGAGCGTGGCTTCGCGCGCGTGTGCGGCGATGATCCCTGGGTGTCGTTCGTGGACACCATGGGCCTGGGACCCCAAGGACAGCCGGGCCGGGGGCTTGACCTTGGTGCTGTGGTATCCCCTCGGAGGGGGCCCATCCATCCCCCTGGGGTGTGGTGCCCCGCAGAGTTTGGGAGCAGAGTCCCCCCCAGCTCTGCAGCTCACAATTGGAAAGACCTTGAACAGGTTCCTTCATCTGTACAATCAGTGATCCCTTACTGTCTTTGTGAAAATGAACTTCAAAGTACAATAATGAGCACTGTGTATCAGGTATTATTCTAATGTTTTACAGTCATTCCTTTTCTTCTTGTAACACCTAGTGTCAGTACAATCTTTTCCCCATTTACAGGAGAGGAAACGGCAAGTATATCTAATGTGGAGAGGTTAGAGGGAAGTGGTAGGGGAGGGATTTGAACACAGGCAGCCCCACGGTTGAGTTCTGCTGTCACCCTTTATATGGACTGTCTCTCCATAAAGCCATTATGATTGTTACCTTTTTAGTGCAGTGCCCAGAACTCTTTTGGTGGTTGATTCTCTGGCCACGCTCCACGCCACGCACAGCCTGGCATCCTAAGGAAGTGATGATGTTTCCCAGACTCATCTTTTCTACTAAGTTGTGGCTAGTGATTTTTTTTTTAATATATTTTATTGATTTTTTTTTTTTTACAGAGAGGAAGGGAGAGGGATAGAGAGCTAGAAACGTTGATGAGAGAGAAACATCTACCAGCTGCCTCCTGCACACCCCCTACCGGGGATGTGTCCGCAACCAAGGTACATGCCCTTGACCGGAATCGAACCCGGGACCTTTCAGTCCACAGACAGACGCTCTACCACTGAGCCAAACCGGTTTCGGCAAGTTGTGGCTAGTGATTTCTGATATATCTTGAGGTTCCTGAGAGTCCAGATGTGAGAGGCCATACTGCTCGTTTCACAAATGATAAGACTGGGGATTCCAGTGGTCACCCTACGGCTTTTTCCACTGCACTATATACCCTTCTATCTAAATAAGCCAAAACAAGATGTTCCTGTTTTTCATTTAAACAATAGCTTTTAGTTTGTTTTAAAATCCTCTTGTTTGTCCCTTAACCAGATGGTAAAAGTCTATCTCTCAGATCCTAGATTCCTGCCATCTCATCCCCATACACCATTAATCACTAGCTCCTTTTGCACACATAAACATAACTTGTCTTGCTGAGGATCTGCATTATCTGGTAGTTTGGAGATCTCCCCCTCCTCCCCCCCAGGGTGACTGTTATATTTGTACCTATCTGGATGAATTATTTATACTAAGTGAATCAGTTATTAGAGACAGTCATTTGTGAAGTATAAAACAGTCAAAATGATATTTTTCTTTCTCTAATTTCTAGCTAAAAGATATCTACTTACAGATAATATTGTGAAATTAAAAGCATTTCAGCAAAAGAAGGTGGCTGTTGCATACAGTCTTCCTGGTACCAAAGGTAATTGAATCTGTTTTGTTAATTCTTTCATTGTTCTGTCATTCAAGTTTTCTCTGTCTATCCTTATTCAGTCTCTCCTTCAAGACCCCCTGGTTGAATTCCTGGACAAACTTCCAGTTGAGGGGACAATTTGCATACTATTTTATTATATAGGATACATATTCTTGTGCTCCTGTTCCCAGAGATTCTGTGTTGGAAAGTCTTGCGTGGGGCCTGGGCTTTGCCCCTGTGACACAGAGGCTTTGGACACCGTCTCGGACACTGCTCGAGGGGACCAGCCCCTGAGGGAGCGGCGAGGCTGTGAGCCCCTCTCAGTGCCCCTTCACCATGTGCCAGGTTCTGGCTTCCCTTCTCCCTGTGGTTAGATTTAGATTGCACACAGTCGACCTCAGTGATGGTCACCCCACTGTGCTTTCTTCCAGAAACCTATTTGAGCAACTTGGAGGAGAAATTGACCCAGAACAAGCTCATCTTGAAGGAGGAGCTGAGGACCTTACTTCATTTATGTGAGTCCCGTGATGATGTGGAACTGGCTAAACATGTCATTTACAGGTGAGGCATTTCCTTAGAATTCTGCCGGCCTTTGTCTCTTCTTACTCTGTTCCGTTTCCTGAGCAATTTCACCCACTTCCAAGGTTAGACATCATTTATACACAGATGACTGCCAAATCTCTGGTCCAGATGCCTGCCATGAGCTCTAGACATTTATATTCATTCTCCTAGCAAACACTTACTGGGTTCCTACTACATACCAGGTGCTGGGGGTAGAAAAGCAGATAATTCATGCTCCAAGAAATCAGCAGCCTACTCACTAACTTCACTTACACGTCCCTTAGGTCATCATATTCAACTTATGCAAATGTCTTCCTTTTGCTGTGTTTCCCATTGCACTGACCAGTTTCTCAGGGCAGATATCTGTGAGCCTCTTTCCCCTAATCTCATTTGCTTCCCTCCCTGACAAAGAAATCCGACTGCTTCCAGGTGCCTGTTGTCTCTCCTCTCTAGCCTTCCTCTCTCTGTCCCTGTTCCCAGTGTCTCAGTTCAGGCCTCAGTGCCTCTCACGTGGATGACCAGTGGATTCCTAACTAGTCTCCCTTTCCCAGATGTATGCCTATTCTGTGGTGTCTGATCCCTTATCAGAGTTTCCCATGTCAGAAGGAGCTCACACAAAATCATTGTCTGCTGTTAAGAAACCCAGCAAAGGTTTTGCTCCCTTGGGAGAAAATATGGGCTTCATTTCAGAAATTAAGTTCATTGCTTCTTTTCACCATTCTTTGAAAATATATTTCTGTACATGGGCCTGCGTTTATATTATATATTTATAGGAATAAATATAAAGTATTCATATATAGAATACTGGAAGAATATATACCAAAAGTTAACTGCGGTTCTCTGGGAATTGCACATTTTATATTTTTTGTCTGTCTTAAATGTGTACTTCTCTGATTTCTCCAACTTGTCTATAGTGAACATTAGCAATTTTATAATGTGAAAAAAATTTATGTTATTTTTAAAAAGGAAAATTAAAAAATAAGAAAAACACCAAAAAAGTAGAAAGAACAAATATATTACAAGTTCTGCTATTTCAGGTGTCTCTAGCTGCATATCAAACCACGCCAGAACTCTGGTTTAAACAGCCATTATTTATTATTTCCCAGAGCTCCGTGGGTCAGGAATTAAGGCCCATCTCAACTGGGTGGTTCTTTGTTGGTGTAGACTGAAGTCACTTGCTCATCTGCAGGTCACTGGGCTGGGCTAGAAGGTCTAAGAAGGCCTTACCTGCATTTCCGATGCCTCAGTGCCCCTCCACATGGCTCTCCTCTCCTTGCAGTGTCTCACCATCCGTGAGTCAGCTGGAGCTGCACTAGCCCGTGGTCAAGTGGAAGCTGCAGGCCTTGCAGAGCTTCCCAGAAGTGGCACAGCTTCATTTCTGATGCATACTCTTGGTCAAAGCAAGAGTCCTGCCCGCCCAGATTCACCGGGAGGGAAAGGATTCCACCAATGGATGGATGGATGGATGGATGGATGGATGGATGGAGCAGCTTGCTCATGCAGGGAGAGGAGAAGTTGATGGTGGCCACCTCTGGGCCCATCTACCACTTCTAAGAAACCATGGTTAATATCTTGATATACTCTTCACCCCTGAACAACACAGGACTTGGGGCACCAAAAAGTCACATATGACTTAAGTTTTAAATTAACATCGTGGATTTCCAACTGCAGATAGAAAATACATCCCTATCAATTATTTTCATACAAAGATAATTATTATTTTGATAGGGTTTATTTATTACTGTGTAATTATTACTGTGTGTATATGTGTGTGTGTATAATGATATTTTCTTGTTTTCTAATTAGTATTATAGCATAAATGTTTTTGCTTGTGTACATCGTAATCATCTCACTTTACCAACAACCAATGTACATTTTCCTCTCTCTTGTTTCATAGGGTGAGTGGGCCTCCAGCACACCTTGTTCATTTATTTGTTTCTTTAAACACCTAGGGTATTTCTGCATTCCAGGATTCCTCTGATTAACTTCAGCTCTGCAAGCTTCCCCTCCAGACTGTGTTGTGTCCCTAACACCTAGCCAAGTGCATTGTCTCGGTCTGTCAGTTCCTTTCCCGCATCCCATTTGGCTCATTGGATCATTTTTATTAACAGGTACTATGTAGAGAACAGAAGTGTCACGTTGGGAGAGTATAAGTTTGGACCACTTTTCATGAGGTTGTGCTACGAGTTGGATCTTGAGGACTCTGCAGTGGAGCTCATCAAAGACCAGGTGATTGTCTTCTGATTGCCTTCCCCGCCAATGTGATTTCCTCGTGCTGAGGATAAGGTGTTTTTAATGTTAGGAAAGGCATCTATCTCCCATGTACAGATTTTTATTAGAAAAAAACTGTTGGTGCCGAAACCGGTTTGGCTCAGTGGTAGAGCATCGGTCTACGAACTGAAAGATCTCGGGTTCGATTCCGGTCAGGGGCATGTTGCGGGCACATCCCCGGTGGGGGGTGTGCAGGAGGCAGCTGGTCGATGTTTCTCTCTCATTGATGTTTCTAGCTCTCTATCTCTCTCCCTTCCTTTCTGTAAAAAATCAATAAAATATTAAAAAAAAAAAAAAAAAAAAAAAAAAAACAAGAAAAAGGCTGTTGGGCTGAATGAATGAGCTTTTCCCCACTTTTGTAAGGTTTCTTTGGAGTCAGTTCCTATGAAGAGGAATAGGTCTCTTTATACAGGTGTGGAAGAGGTGTAAGTACAGATTGCAAGGGATCTACCTACCTCGGATGTGTGTCCACCTGAGACTGACATCCTCCTTTTGAGGAGCTTTTGCTGCAGACAGTTTAAGACAACTTGCCATTTAAAGATTGCCTTTCCTGTCCTTCACTTGTGCTTCTCTCCTCTTTTTGTACTTTATTTCTGGCTGAAAGCCATGTTGTAAAGGGCTTTTCTATTTTTAAGATGCTTTCACATATTCCAGTTTTCTTTTCCTAAAAACAATAATAGCAATAATTATTTTTAAATTACTTATTGAATACTTACTATGTCCTCGGCTTAAGCACTTTATATGTTTCAAATGTTTCCCACAATAGCCTTGGTGAGCGAGATACTATTATTATTTATATTTTACAGATGAAGAAACTTGGACGCTGAGACAGTATAAATTTGTCTATTGTCAGAAGCATTGGTTAAATTTTGAGGCTGGAGGTGGCCACCTGGGACATGTTAGTATTTTTAGGGACCACCATAACTAAGTTGTCCTTCTGCCTCTTACTGTTTTTCCTATAAAAGGTTCTGTCCATGGTGGAGCTGTTAACTCTCAGCTTGTCCCTCTTTTAAGAATACTCACGCATTAGAAAGATGACCGTAGTATATTAGCAGAGAAGAGATGATTTCAGAACAGTATGGAGTAGTTTGAGCATATTTTTTTCTAAAAGAAGAAATATATGTACATTTTTACATTTCAGTGTATATGTATTAAAAATATGGAAGGATAAACACTGAACTGCTGCTTATCTTTAGATGATAAAAGTATAGGAAATTCTCATTTTTTACTTTAAACAGTTTTGTATTGTTTGACTATTTTATAATGAGGATGTCTTAATGTTGTAATTAAAAGAAAACAAAAGTTTTACTATAATAAATCATAGCCATGAGTATAGTGACAAAAACAAACAGAAAGTGAATGTAAGGTTTTGTTATGGTTTTTACTTACCTGTGTGTGAAACATTCAGGAATGAGTGAGTTTCCTGGAGTGGGATAAACTGGATTCCAGTCAAATGACATAAAACCTAATCCTGCTTCCACTAGTCACGTGTATCTCTGGAGCCCTTGGACTGTGGCTCTATGTATAAAAGTAGGTTTTCAGTTGTTCATTTGGAAAGTAATAATATATAATAATACAGAAATAAACTGATTTGCATACTCACAACTGTAAATCTACTTTTGCCCCACCCTGTACATGATGTATTTCAGATATTTAGTATAAAAAGGAGAATGTAAAGTACTTTTTAATGATTGTATTGTTTACATGTGGAAATTATATTTTGGATTTAGTGCATTAAGTAACATTATTAAAACTGATTTTACATATTTTTTACTTTTTTTAATGAGGCTACTTGAAAATTTAGAATAACTTACATAGTTCCACTTGTGGCTTGCAATATTTTTCTTTGGACAGGGCTGCTCTGATGCTTCCCATCCCACTTAGAATAGAACTCAGGCCCCTCATCATTATCTAGCGGACTTTTCATGGTGTCTCATCTCCTGCCACCCCTCCTTGCTCACTTCATCCTGGACCTTGTTCTTTCTCAGACATGCCAAGCTCCTGGCCTGAGACTGGAATGCTCTCACCTGCATCACTGGGCCTTTCTCCTTTACTGCATCAAGGTCTCTTCTCAGAGAGCCTTCCCGACCCCCTCCCATCACCTCTCTACCCCTCTGTCCTGCTCCATTCTTCCTCATGGCTCTCATTGATACTTTAAGTTAAGCTCCACTAGGTGAGAAGCCCACTGGCTTCAGGGCAGGCTCTGTGTCTTGTGTATTATTTGTTGCTCTTGGGAGCTGCTCAGTGGCTCTCAGACAGGACGAATTGGAGCGAGGCATCCAGCAGCACATCTGAATAGCATGGCATTCAAGGAAACAACATTGAGAACATTTAAAAATGTTTTAGTGAATTATTACTCACTAAACAATAATTATGATGATTAAAGTGAATTATTTTAAAAAATGAACAATCAGCTCTGTTTTGTTTGCCAAAAAAGTTACTTTAGACATTCCTGCCTTAGTCCTCAACTGTACTTTTAGCTGCCATTTCATGTTATTATACTGCCACCCAGGCCCCAGGACCACCCCACCAGGGCTGATTGGCTTGTTTCTTTTCTCCTAAATGTGGCAGGACCACCGTTTTTTTCACCGTATTTCTGAAGAGATCTCATTGTATATCCATTGCCAGTATATCCATTGCCAAAGGCATGACACCCAATAGAGTGGGCAGCATTAAAAAAAATTTTTTAAAGAAATCCTTGGTGTATCAGAAACTTATTAGAGAATTCAGGAGGCCCAGTGAATAAGGTGTGCACAAAAATAAGTCCTGGACAGATAAGGTGCAATATAAAGATAATAATCCCTTAATAGTTTTAAATTTTAAACAAACTATTGTTTTTCTTCATTAGCAATTACGAGGTTTCTTCTCAGACTCCACGTCATTCAATATTTTGATGGACATGTTATTTATCAAAGGCAAATATAAAAGTAAGTATTGTAATTTATGTTTGCTGAAAAATTCTGCCCTCTTCGCCTGTATACCCATTAGAAAAAGCAATGGACCATACAAAAATGACCTTAACATTCCTGTTGAGTATCTGAATTAGGGAGATCTCATTCTTTATGTGTGAAAACTTTGTTGCATTTTATGTCAGGCCTTAAACTAAACACCCCACATTTTATTTATGCTGACATTATAATAGGTTTTTAAATATTAGTTATTCCTGTGTTGTTAATTTTGAAATTTAGTTCATTGCTAAATGACTTTGATAAATAGCTTTTATTGTGCTAAATACATCTTTTAGTGGATGGTGCTGATTAGAACTCTGCGTATCAGCAGTAGAAGATTTTGAATTTACTTTACTGTACTTACGAGCAGGCCTCCTTCTTACTTTCGGCAGGTGCTTTGGAAGTATTGATCGAGATGAAAAACCAAGATGTGAAGTTCAACAAAGATACCTATGTCCTTGCTTTTGCAATTTGCTACAAACTGGTAAGCCTATCTCCTGTTAACCTTTAGAACATTGTGGATAACGTTTGAAAAAGGATCTTGGTTTTTTCCCCTCTCTGCAGTAAAATTCAGTTCCTCGAAAATCAGTTTTCCATCTGGTGCAGATATTTCTATTTTAAATGTGTTCGTTTTTAGAAAACTTAAGTCAGCCATGTCAGACAGTTTTATTATGGGAAAAGCAATTTAATTCTTTTCACCCTTCCCTGGCAATTGTATAGATAGTGAAACAAGAAACAGTATGCTGGGCTCAAGCTCTGCTTTCCAGTGGTCTTGCTATAAGGCTCTTGCTGGACTCTGCTAGACCAGTCTTCCCTGTGGCCCTCTCCTGTGGAAACCTTACATCCTTCGTTGGCAAACTCAAGGGCTATTTTGTCCTCATCTGTGAATTTATCTGTAATCACCTAAGTTGGAATCTCCTCCAATATTCCTAAAGCTACCCTATTTGTCATGTATGTGACACATAACACTGCCCATTGTTACACCACTAGAGTATAAGCTCCTTAAGGCCTCTTCTCATGCCAGCACCTAACACTGTGCCTGGTACACAACCAGTCTTTAATAAATGTATGTGACGTTAAAATGAACTCTTTGAGGAAAGCGTGACTTATAAATCCATATGTCATTACTGTATCAGGATTGTTTCTTAGAGAAACTCTCTTCATTATTTAATGAATGAATGATAACTGAAATAGTACTTAACTATACTTAACTATAGTCATTCCTGCCATTTAAACTCTGGAAACTTAGCAAAGCCTTTTCATGTGAAAACAAAGGAACACAGGCAAGGTTGGAAGAACATGGGCCATTGGACTTGCCTGAAAGGTGAAGCGGTGTCAATTTTCCCAAACAGGGAGAGAGTTGGGTTGCAGTGGAAAGAAAACTAACGTGGAAATTAAGAAACTTGGAGTCTAGTCTCAATTTTAGCATTAACTGGCTTTAACAGGTCACTTTCCTCATTTGTTAAGTGAAGGGCTTGGGTTCAGGGGTCAGCAAACTTACTCTGTAGAAGGCCAGATAAATATTTTGGACCACTTGTGGTCTCTGTCACATTTTTTTGTGTGTGTGTTTTTATAAACCTTAAAGGGGTAAAAAAAAAAAAACATGTTAGCCAAAGGCTGGATTTGGCCTGAGATTTTTAGATGCTCCTTTCCAGGCATCCCTTCTTGTGATCCTGTGAATCAAGCCAGCAGAACTCACAGCGCGTGAGCATCAGCTGTTCAGCACTGTGACACACAGTTTTCTGACCTACTTAGAGAGGCCTCCCGGAGTGAATACTGAAGTGGGGAGAATTGACTTCTACCACTGACTTTTCTTCCCTGTGCTGTGCCCAGGAATAACGTGTTTCACTCCATGGACTCTGGAGGTGAAAATCGAACTGCTCAGCCATTCCCAGGTTCGGGCCAGTCTGGGAACTGTCCTCTCTCGTTAAGTTCAGGATTTACTGTAGCGTTTGAGTTGTGAGTTGTGTCATGACAGTTGTGCATAGATGCAAAGCTGATGCTGCTCTCACAACCTAGTCTTCCTATAGCATGAGCCAAGGAGAGGATTCAGCTTTCCCATTGCTGTTTGCTGGCTTGTGCTTCAGTCACATTCTTGGAGGGGTTCTTGTTTGTTTTTGTTCTTCAGTTTTCTGATTTTCTGGGATTCTCTCATGATTAATGTTCAAATTGGTGTTCATGGTTTCAGATATTTGACTTACGTGGATATTTTTAGATTGGAAATCCCCTCAGGAAAAGTTGTCCTGTGTTGCTGAGCCTTCCTCTATTATGTTATATAGAATCAGGCCGAATCTTTATACTTTTATGTTATGGGACTGATGTGTAAAAACCCATCCACCGAAGGTGAAACTGCCCCAAGTCAGAAAATTGACAAAGAGCTTTAAAAATAAAGTTTAGTTTAGATTTGAGTGCTAACATATAGATAACCTGGTCTATTTGCGAATAGTCTATATGGTTCTTAATCATTTAATGGGCTTGAGATAGGCTCTGGGATATTCTTGCAAAAGGAAATCTGAAATACTGAGCACTATTAATTATTTTATTCAACTTAAAACTTCATGGCATTTATTGGTTGAACAATCCCATCTCCTTCTAGAATAGCCCTGAGTCTTTTAAAGTCTGCACCACATTACGGGAAGAAGCCCTAATCAAAGGAGAAGTCCTTCCCAGGAGAGCATCCTATTTTGCTGTGGCACTAGCTCTGAATCAGGTGAGGCTTCGGGTGCCCATATGTGAATTGGGAATGGGAAGGATGTTACCGCTTTCATTTCTTTTATTTATTTTCCCCTTCTGGCTGTATCAAAGAAAATAAAGAGACCAATGCCTTTGGTGCCATGGCAACCTGCCTCTATACCCATGCCCCCAAAGAATGTTTCCATTTACAGTTAAGGGCATGACATGCATTGCTGTTTTGAAGGGACTGGCTAAGATCTTATGGAGGGTCAATGGCTTCTGAGAGAAATTTCTCATGTAATGAAAATGAAAATGTTAAGTAATCTGTTTACTAATGTGATGTTCTTAGAAAAAGTGTAATTTAATGTTCTCCAAAGCTGAAACACCTCAGATGACCGAGGACTCCCACAATGAGCCCATTGTGGAATTGGGGTCCATCATATAGTTCAGAGTTAGACCCAAATACTCTTTTGAAAAATGCTTTAGCTATCTTTTAGCCTCGCCCTTTCACCGGACAAATGGAAACAGCTGAGGCCCAGAGAGGAGACAGGACTCCCTATCTTCACACCTCAGTGAAGGAGGTTAAAGCTGGGACCCTGGAATGCCTCCCTTAAAGAGCCCTTCCCAACAAAGATATCCTGCTCCAAAGTCTACGAAAATGTGAACTCCTTTAAGCTACAAATATGCACAGGCTTTATTCTCCCTGGCCGTTGGGAATGGGCATGGAATTGGTTTTCAATGAAATGTCTCTTTGCTGCTGCCATAGTGACATACTGCTTCCTGCAAATATGGCTTATCTACGTAATTCCTTGATTAGCTTCATCTTTGCCACCAAACGGATCCAGAGAACTTCTCATTACTAGTCCTAAACTCTGTTACCATAATTGTAAATGAGAATTTAGGTTTTATACTTCAGGTTGTGCCCCTCACCACGAAGAATTACTCTGTGGGCTGTTTCTGAGAAAGGCAGCAGTGGTCTCCCCTCGCTGCTTCTTTAGACAACCTGGGCTCCATCTCCAGGATTCCCACCACTTCTGTGGTCTGAGGTTTCTCCTGTGCTCTGATTATGTCAGAGATTGTCAAAGATGGGTGTGGTGGTGTGTGTGTGTGTGTGTGTGTGTGTGTGTGTTTTTAAGTTCATTACAGTGGGAGAAGAAAAAATGTAAACTTTATGCCTCCCTCTTAAAAATTGAAACTTTGGTAGGGTATTAAAACATTTAGTAACATGACACTGTTAGACACATTTTATAGAATGTGCATTCTTGATCACCAAAAAACTCTTTTTCTTTGTGGATCTCAAAACCCTGGTGCACCATGAACAGGAATATCCCGACATCTTTAAAAGATCTTTATGATAGCAGTGTAACGTTCATGTGACTTAGGGTATGATTTATTTTTCTTCTTTCCAGAACCAAGTGGAAAAAGCTGCATCTATTTTTTCTCAAATCATGATACCAGAAAGCATAATCTGTGCTAATTTAAATGTAAGTGACTTCTTTGTGGTTTAAAGAAAGGCTATAAATGTACTAAAATGATGTTTAGAGTTTTTGTGCACAATGACTTGATTTCCCAAGGGCTTCATTCAATTTATTCATTTACTGAGCGCTCTGAAAGTTACAGTATGGCCCTTGTGAGAAGAGTCATCACAGCCTTTGCTTCCAGGAGTTTGTTAATAGGTGGGAAATGTAGACATGCTCAGATATTAGACATGGCTAAATGTTATAGGTATTAATACATGACTACAGAAGGTGGTAGATGTAGAGAGAAGAGAGATAGACCCTCCAATCTCTTTACTAACTAAGGCTTGAGAGAAACCTGTTTGCAAATTGTATCTTATCCATGTACCTAACTCATGGAGTATACTATGCTGCATAAAATAGTGCTCACTCAATACATGTCTGTGTTCAGTCTTGCTGCTAGCTAGCCATGGTCCATCTGCCCTGGTGAATAGAGTTACCTACCTCTTCCTGTCCTAGGACTGGGTGCCTAAGCAGGACAAGTGGGTGGGTAAGCCTGAAAAGATCTTTATGATAGCAGTGTAACGTTCATAGGCTCAAGCAGGTCTGGGAGGCCAAGGTAGCAAAGGTCCCAAGTCCACAAGTCAGGGCATCTGAGCAGCCAGTAAGCCATACTGACTTGGGAGGCGCCATATGTATTTTACCTTCCGTGCTTACTACTGGATATGGAGAGCTCTGGGGATCCCAAGTATGTAAGTGTCTGCAGATACCCTCGTTTCATGACTGGACAGGAGTAGCATTGCTAGGATTCCAAATGGTTCATAGCATCATAGGAAAGAAATATAGGCAAGTGTGGTGAGAGGAGTTTTATGTGGACTATTAGAGTTGATGTAATTTTGTGGGTATCAGTGATTGGTGGTGAGATTTGAAGGGAGTGAGATTGGCAGGATTTTGTCTTCATATTATACATATGAAAATGAAGATTCAAAGGGTAAATAAATTACTCAAGTTCTCACAGTTAATTAGATAGCAGAGTCAAGGTTTTAACACCAATAAATCTGTTTGACTGCAAAGCCCAGGGTCTCCCGATCTAGACCTGCAGGGATAAGGGCCATGTCTCTTCTCCAGGACTGGGACTCTCTGCTCCTCCTGAATAATGAAAAGAACATAGGACTGGATGTCAAGAATGGAGCCTGCTTTTGGTGCACATATTCTGTGCCTTTGCATTTAAATTCCTCATCTAGTTCAGTCCTTGACTATCTCTCACGTTGTTATGAAATGTAGTAATTTTTTTTTTCCAAATGAGAAAGTGCTTTGGTGGAAGTAAAACATGAGCCTGTTGAGAGTGAAGCTGACCACTCACAATAGGAGGAGAAATCTGAGCGAGATGGGAAGTGCACTCATAAGCCAGGCTCTGGACCAGCCCCTTTTCTCTGAGAGCTGGAAGGAAAGGCAGCTGGTAAATGTGGTGGAATGGGGCATGATTCAGGCATGAACCTTGAGCCAATCTTGACTATGAATTGGGTTACAGAATTATATGTTTTTCAGGAAATTTAAAGATAGTTTTATTGTTTAAAAATTTTCACTTGGGCCAAAACTGTTTGGCTCAGTGGAAAGAACGTCGGCCAGCAGACTGAAAGGTTCCGGGTTCGATTCCGGTCAAGGGCATGTACCTTGGTTGCAGGCACATCTCCAGTAGGGAGTGTGCAAGAGGCAGCTAATTGATGTTTCTCTCTCATCGATGTTTCTAACTCTCTATCCCTCTCTCTTCCTCTCTGTAAAAAATCAGTAAAATATATTTTTTTAAAAATTTTTTTCACTTCGGAAATTTTTCAAAATGTCCCATCTAAATTTCTCATATCCTATCTAATAAAGGATAATATGCAAATTAACCATCACTCCATCACAAAGATAGCAGTGCCCATAGCAACAAGATGGTGGTGCCCAGTCCCCTTAGCCCCGCTGGAGTCCCCCAGTCCTGGGGGTGCTGCCGCTGAGAGTGGGCAGCATTAGTGTCCTGGTGGAAGCTTGCTTTGTTACCATGGCAACAAGACAAGCATTCCTCCCCAGCCATGGAGGGCCTCTGGGCAGCAGGCGCAGAGCAGCCAGGCCCCACAGAGAGCAGAGAACCACGGGGAGTGGGCCTAAGCCATCAGGGCATCTTTCAGATTCTGGGTCTCTGTTTTTAGAACAGTTTTTTTTTTTTTTTTTTTTTGGGGGGGGGGTGGTGGGGGGAATGATTTAATGAGCCTAGCTTCTCCAAGACTGAGTCATCTATTTGGAATCCTTAAGGACAATTTGTTAATTTTTTAAGAAATGGAAACCTGACAACTTGGCTGAGTAGAGAGTCTGTTCAATCAGTAATAACAAGAATAAATTAAATTTTTTCCTGATCTACTTTAAAAATTATGCCTTATACTAAAATCTTACTCTGCTGCCAGTTTGGAATTTGCATTTACCCAATTATTCCCCCTCAATTTCCTTTCATTGAAATTGCTCCTACTGCCAATATGACCCAGAGGGTCTGGTTTCCCGTTTTCCCAGCTATATGTGTTATATATTGAACTAACTTAGGAGGTAAAATTAAAGCACATCTATGTTGACTTTGCCCTTTTAGTCTAAATTTAAATCCATGCATCTCAAAAGCACTATGGCCCTCTTTAGCAATGCTGTTCAATATCAAAGGATTGATTTATACTTTCAAATATGTCTGAAAATATCAGAGACCAACACAGGGTAACTTTCCACTGATTCTATTTAATTTCTAACCATTTCTCTAGAAACCTGGTAGTCTCCAGATGGAGAGTGATTTTGGAATTGAATTACCTTGCAAGGGAATTGACAGGCGGTTAGTTTCGCCGTTTTTATAATTTATTTATTGACACAGGTGATTGCTTTAATGCCCTTTTCTACTACTTACCAAGGTCACCCTAAAATTCTAGCTCATGCTGGGAAGTCAGTTAGGCTGCAGAGGTAGGAAAGGAGACAGGACTCACTGCTCATAAATCCTTTGGTGGCAACACCTCACCTGTATGTATAAAGAATTGCTTTAGGTTGGGAGCAATGTAGACTCTAAAAACACAGGAGTCTGTCCAAATTAGAGATGTTCTCTTCCTCTCATGGAGAAAACCGGAGGTGGTCAGTCTAGGTCTGGTGTGACATTCCATGATCTCCTCAGGGACCCAGCCTCTTTCTGTATTTCCACGCCACCATCCTAAGCACGTGACTTCCATCCATTGTGTTGCAATTCCAGCAAGAAGTAGGAAGATGGAGAGGGCAAAGAAATCAGCACCTTTTAAGGGTGCTTCCCCAGTTGTCTCAACCAAAAATTGGTATTTATAAGTTATTGTCCAGAACTTCATTCCATAACCTCCATAAACCTGAGGAATAGAGCCTTTGAGTTCCATATGTCATAGAATCAGTTAAAATTAGGGGGTTCTGTCATTAAAAAAAACAAAAAAAAACAAACAAACAAAAAAAAACAAGGCCAATAGATATTGTTTAGAAAACTAGCAGTCTCTACCACGCTATGATATTCTACTTCAAATATAGTAAACTTTAAAAAAAAAAAATAAGAGAATAAAGAAATGCAAATTTCTGGCATGTTTAGAGCTTCTTTTCTGGTCAAAGGTATCTGATGATTTATCAGCATTTCCCAAAGCCTCAGAAAATCAGAGGGTAGGAAGTATGTGTTAATAGTTTTTCTTACCCAAATTTTCCTTGCTCCTTGCTAATTCAATTTTCCTAGCCACTTGTTTGACATCTGTAAGATTAAAGCAATGTGCTGTGCCCTGATGTAGCTTTTCTTAATTGCACCCTGAGACCTCAGTTTGAGACAATCTCCTAGCTTTAAATTTTCTCTTTGTCTTTCATCAGCAACTGCCTCATCTATATTGCCCTTCATCAGTATATTCATAAGGTATAGAACTTTACTCTTGAAATCCCTACTGAATATCAGAGATAGTTGCTGGAGGCAAGGAGGGAAATTAGGAAAAAATGGGAAGAAAAGTTGAAATCTTACAGGAGCACATCATTAAAAGTTTGTAGATGGAGCTGCAGGAGGTTTATCATTGAAAAGTGCTGTGCTCCCCTTCTCCTTCATTAGTTTGAGGGTCTACCAGGCACTGGAGATGCTGCATTTAACAAAAGTAGACTTGTCCTTGACTTCAATCAGCCAGTTCACTGCCAGCCAAATTCATTTTTTATTAACAAGGGTGACAAGAACTATTAAGAGTGGAGATTTTACCCTCCTTTCAAATTATGAGTTAGCTTGCTACAGTTTCATGGGTGCTGGTAGAGTATATAAGACATCAGGAAGCGAAGGACATTTAGCATTTTTGCATTAGTTCCCTGAGCCTCAGTTACATAGGGCAGTGGTCGGCAAACTGCAGCTCTTGAGCCACATGTGGCTCTTTGGCCCCTTGAGTGTGGCTCTTCCACAAAATACCACGTGCGGGTGCGCATGTACAGTGTGATTGGAACTTAGTGGCCCATGCACAGAAGTCAGTTTTCTGCTCTCAAAAGAAATTTCAATCGTTGTACTGTTGATATTTGGCTCCTTTGACTAATGAATTTGCCGACCAGTGACATAGGATGATGTGAAGGCCTATAATGCCTCTTGTGCACACTGGGTTTTACATTTTAAGAGAGGAACCCTGAATTTGGGGAACCCAAATATGTTATAATGGGCAGTAAGAATCCTTGCCCTTTGCTCTGGGTAAGACACTGTATCTGTCTTCCCAGACCGTTGGTTATGCAAACATCCTTGAGAAGATAGTTTGGAAGAAAGCCTATCACTGCTTCTGCTCAAATGTGAGACACCCTGGAGGGTTATCCCCAACAAAGGGTATGCTCATGATTTTGCCTGTGCTTTGGGACATTGAACTTAGAGCAGGGCCTTGGGATTTAGTCTACTTAGGATCATTCCATTCTGTTCTGCAGGACCAAACACAACCCCTTATCCTATTCAATTGCTCAACATACATAAAATGTTAGAAATGGACTATTGAGAGAACTTAGCTAGTTTGGTATATAAGAGGAATCTCTCTTCCAAAAATATTACCTTTCCTAAGGATCAAGAGCCCTTAAACATATTTTATAGCTTTTGACTTTGTAATTTCACTTCTGGGAATTCTGAGAAATGAAGTGTATTTTTTTAAAATGTATGCACATTTACCAATATGATAAAGCATGGTGTTAATTTATTTGATGTATTATTTTATTTATATGATGGATTGCTATACATGCACATTCATCATTATAAAGAGAGTTCCTTTTGTTATAAAATGTTGTTTTTAATGTTGTAAGATAATGTTCTTTGTGTGATAATTGACAAAAAGGAGAATCAAAATTTGGGAAAAATAAATATATTTGAAAGATAATACATGAAATTACAAACAATGATTAACATTAGTTGGTAAATTCTGAGTTATTCTCATTTTATTTAAACTTTTCTATATTTATTCTAATAAATATTGGTGATAAGGGGGGAAATGTGTTTCTGTCTGATGGGAGGTAGTTAGTAATACCATTTTGAAAGCCAGGTGCAGTGCCCAGTTTTGAAAGTTCCCAAATAGAGGTGCTTCACTAGGATTTTAACAAGCTTTCACTGTTACCTGCAACAGCCTATTCTCCTGGAATCTCTCAACCAAAAATTAATAAATGAAAAAAAGGTAAAGGTATCATTTACCCTAGAGTCGAGATTGATTGTCAGAGCCTCTGAATCTAGAGGCTATAGGAAGAAAGTGATAGTAATGTTACTTGAGTAAAACCTTCTGTGTGCTAGCATTTTATTTAATGTTCACAATAACTAAAAATGTGAGATGTAAAGTTTCCTCCCCTCATTTTACAAATAGAGAAATTGAAAGAGAGATTAAATACAGGCCAGTGTCACACAGCTAATAATTGCCCATGCTAGGAATCCAGCCCCAAATTTATGTTCTCTCCATTTCTATCCTTAGGCAAATCTTGCATTTGTGGTACTTTAATTTGTCATTGGAAAACAAGTTTTGGCTGGTGGACATGCATTTGAAGCATTTTTTTGAACTTGTGCAAGCAACTGATTAGGAAGTAGCATGAAAACGGGGTAGATACCTATAAATATAGGCTTCTGTAACTGGCTCTGTTTTGTTTTACTTGTCTTCTTTTTATTCAGCTTATGATCCATATTCAGTCAAATATGTTGAAAAACCTGATAGATATACTAAAGAATGCCACAGATGAAAGTGTATCAAAATTTGTGAAAAAACTCAAGTTCTCAGAAGAAGTGGTGAGTATGTGGTTGCTACAGAAATCATTAAAAGGTAAAGAGCACACTTTAAAAAGGCCCCTCCTTGTCCTGGCTGGTGTGGCTCAGTTGGTTGGGTGTTGTTCTGTACACTGAAGGGTTGCCAGTTGGATTCCCATTCAGGGTTGCGGGCTTGATCCCCAGAAGGGGGTGTGCAAAAGGCAGCCAATCAATGTTTTGATCTGACATCGATGTTTCTCTCTTGATGTTTCTCTCTCTCTCTCTCTCTCTTTCCTTCTCCCTTCTTTCTTTCTAGAAAAATCAATAAAAAATCTTTAAAAAACAAAACTCAAAGAAGGCTACCTCCTTAGAGAGATGGTCACACAGGGCAACCTCTCTCTTCTGAGATGGGGGGACTGGCAATAGAGGGCAAGTGGCCGCTTTCCCTTCTGCCACACCACTGCCTCTCAGTCCTGTCCCATCTCCTCATTTCCACCCAAAGGCTTCTCCCGCTGTTAGATAGGTGATGTTATGCCACTGGAGGATATGATTAAATGTAAAGCTTCTTTCTGTTTGAGGTCTAAGCTCTGTGTAGGTAGTGATCCACCCAGATCCTTTTGGAATATGTTAGAAAAGTTGGGGCACTGGTTTTCAAGTACACAGTCATGTGCATGTATGTGCAGTACTGACACGTATTAACCAGTCATACCTTAGATCTGGTCCATCAACATGTTGTTCAATCATATGACTGAAGCATCCAAACAAACTCCACATTGAAAAATACTCATTGTTTTTATCTGAAAAAAAGCGCTATGTAATTTGGCCCTGCTTCCTGCTCTGGTCATTAAATTGGATATACTTGTCCCATTTGTGCCATTTAACCCTCACCCCTTTTAAAAGACATTGGCCATGATTTTCAAGCACCGGTTCTGAATTTGGTGTGTAGCTTGTGGAGACCCTGAAGCTAGTCATACCTCTGTGTGCCTTAGTAACCTGTTTTTTGTCTCTTTAGGTACACACTTACATTTCTGTCTCTGCTTCTTGGAGGATAGAAAGAACAAGGGAAGACTCTTGCATAGGTGGAATAATTTGCTTTTTTGTGTTTTCCAGCTGGCTAAAGTGAGGGGAAAAGTGAAGGATGTGCCTGCCCTTCTGACTACATTTGACGAGCTCTATGGGAAACTGCACATAAATGGCCAGGTCACCGCTCACACTTTGGATGCTCTGCTCTGCTTCACCCCCAAACACCTAAATTCCCAAGTGGTACTAATAAACAAGAGGAGAGTCAGCCGCCGCCAGACCTTCCAGCCACTCAGCCAGTCCTTGTGGACTGAGTAACCTTCAGTCCAACCCCCTGTGGGATGGGCCTGAGTTAGAGAGGACTTGCTTATAGTGAGTTATTGGCATCCTAAGAAATCAGGCACCGAAATCCAGTGGACTCTGCACTAGCATTTGGTCTCCTTAATGTCCGTGTTCCTTGAGTGCTGGCTTGCTGATCTGGGAAGTTAATCCATTTGAGGTCTAGATACACGGGTCAGAAAGCTGAGCTCCCTCAGAAAGAGGCTTGTTCTGGTCAAATGCTGAGGATCCTTGAAGGAATATGGTCTCCAGTCCAGCTTCCAGTACCAGCGCACCCAATAAGCAAAAGTGGAAGAAATTTCACAGTCAACCCCAACTAACTTTCAGGAGATGGTTACTTGCTGAATTCAGATGTTCTGAACCCCTAGGCCATCATGCTGGGAAGTAGCCCAGGATTTTCTCACTGCTTCTGTCATCATACCTGTGACCCCAAACAAGGTACTTGGGCCCTCTTTTTCCATCTATAAAATAAGAGTGTCTGTAGGAATCGTGTATTGATTTGAATTTTTCATTCAAGTGTCAGTAGGGTCTAATTTTCTCAAAAATTAAGAAAAATAAAAACGGTTCCAAAAACTTAGGATTATGTTTTGTTTTCTCAGCACACAAACAAAGCCAGAATTTAGCTCTCGGAACTAGTCAGTAAGCCAAAAATTCAAATGATTACCGCTTTGGTCCTGGGCAAGCCATGTGCTTTTCAAAATAAGTATCTGTGAAAACCACATAATGCTCTCTGGAGTGCTTAGTTTTCTATACGGGTCAGACTTCGGTGCTGACTTGAACTTGATCGATATTCTGAGGCAAGAATTGTTCGCAGGATCAGTATTTTAGAGAAGGAAGAATCTTCTGAGCCTCCTAATTTAACCCCCTCATCTTCACATTGAGGAAATGACTTGCCAGATTGGGATAGTTTGCGGTGGAGCTGAAGTTCAAATACAGATTCCTAGTCTGGTACCCTTCCCCTTGTACCACATTATGTCTCTTCAGAGACAGAATTTGGGGCTCCATAGTTCGCTGTGTGGCGTGGGCTCACCTCAGCTTCTTTGCTCATTAGACCAGGATAACATAGTGCCCACCTCCCGGGCTTGCTGTGAAGATGGAGTGAGGTAGATAACGGTGCAGGACAGCGCCTGGTACAAAGTAAATGCCATGTGGGCAGTAACCATGTTACTGTTGGTAGTATTGCCAATGTTTGCACCTAGTTGAAGAATTATATGAATAAATTAATTCTTCCTCCTGCTCAGAAATACCAAAAGAATTTATTTGCTTATGCTCTGTGAAACATTGGTAGCCCCCTTTAAAGAAAATTCTCTGCCTTCACAGAATCTTTTTTTTTTTTTTTTTTTGTCCTTACCTGAGGATATTTTTCCATAGATTTTTAGAGAGAGTGGAAGAGACAAGGAAAGAGAGAAATATTGATGTGAGAGAAACATATTGATTGATTGCCTCCTGCAGGGGCCTTGGCAGGGAGGAGTCTGCAACTGAGGTTCATGCCCTTGACCAGAATCAAACCCGGGACCCTTCGATCTGCAAGCTAGTGTTCTATTCACTGAGCCAAACTGTTTAGGGCGTTCACAGACTCTTAATTGCATCTTGTGTGTCTTGTGTTTGGCAAGACACACATACACACACACGCACACCATTTGGACTTTTCTACCTTCAAAGTCTTAGGGAATAACAGGGTATGCTTCCTGTCCCCCAACTTATCATTTACCTTCTCCAGCATGCACAAAGAAAATTCTAATGGCTCTGGGTGGTGTGACCCTGGTTAGAGCTAACAACCATTCATTAGCAAAAAAAACAACAAAAAGGAGTTTTGTGAATGATGAATAGCAGCAGTGACCTACCCAGCCCAGCTCTGAGCAGCAGGCAGCTAGTGCTCTGCGCACTGTAAGAACTGGGCTGTTTGTCCTGTTGCTGGAAGCCTTACTGAGGGGGCAGCTTAACACAGAGGTAACCAATGTGGGTAACATTCACCCCAAAATAATAGATGATTCTGAAGGCTAAAAAAAAAAATCAAAGAAAAAGCATGTTCAGTTTACAGTGAGCATTTTATTCTTTGATTTCTTTGAAAAGTGGATTTTCTTTGCATTCAAGAACTTGCCTAAAGCACCTACTTACTCTTCAGCAACTTGCCTGAAACAAGTTCTTATTCTGTAAGTGAAAATATTTTTACTGGAGAGGACATCTTATTCCCTAATTCTGTCTGTGCCTCTGTAGATTGTTTTCACTTATTGTAAATGTCTATTGCTCCAGAATCCAGAACTTGTCCTGGTGAGTACACACAGTATGAGAAAGAGACAAAAGGACATCTCTTTAATTAGGTCATGTCAGGACAGTGTTGGTTATCTTTTGCTGTACAAAAGCACTCCAGAATTTAGTGGCTTAAAACAACACTGGTCATTTTATCATTTCTCATTCTCCTTGAAATTGGCTGGGCTCCACCAGACAGTCCTTACAAAGGATATCGTGCTTGTAGTCAGATGAGGGCTGGAACTGGAGACTTCCTCACTTAATATTTCTGGCCATTGATGGTAGGACCTCAGCCAGGGTCCAATCATCTACACACACACACACACACACACACACACACACACACACACACACAAAGGCAAATAGCACAGGGTTTGAAAAACTAACCCAAGATTCAAATATAACATTTCTAAATCTACAGATTGGAGAAAATTAAACTCTGTACATAAAATATCCATTTAAAAAATCACAACAGCAGAAGCTGTGATCAGTCAAATTTGATATGTGTTACGCATAAAAAATACATGGTAAGCCAAATCATTGTGAATTGATTTCAATGGAAATATTTCAGAAAAAATGAAAAAAAAATGTAAACAAAATGGCTTGAATATATTGCATTGAAAATGGATCAAGGAATTAAGTTGGCTTTAATGGCATTACTTTATAAATGAACAAAAATTGATATAATTCTGATGGAAATATTTTTTATTTGCTAACATGGAGTCAAAACTACGGGGTTGCATTCTGCCAGAGGAGCAGAAATTAAACAGGTAAGTGGACCAATGACCACATGATCTCCATTGGGATAAATAATAAGTCCCGGGAAATACTCATGTCACCTTGTGACCAAGATAGTGGAGGACTTTCCTCGTCTTCCACAGCACCAACTGTGCATGTCACTGATGTTGACACGTAAAGTCCTTTGCCTGGTGTTGTCACCGAAGTCTTCTCTCTAAGTTTAATAGTGTCTCCTAAAGGCCTCCGTAGTCTACATTTGTTTTAAATGATCCCTAAGTGCCTATGGAGCATATTATACATATCCTGGGCTTTAGTATTTGTTATAAGAGTGAATGAATAACAGCAGACTTTAGTCAAAAGGGATAGTCTGCCATAATATGCTTTTATGTACTTCACATGTTTTTCATAAACTGGTCATTCTTTTTATTTCAGTTCTACATACTACAGAGTCAAGTCCAGAAAGATGGAATGCCTGAGGAGGATGTGTGGGCCGCTAGTGCATTAACATGCCGGCCCCACTCCCTTTCCACCAGGTCTGACTCTGCATTCCTCCCCCCCCCCCCACTAGTTCTAAGCACTCAGCTTGTCTGAGTCGCAAGTGATTGGGGAGGAAGCAGTGTAGGGGCAGAGCACAAGGGATCCAGGTGAAATGGCCACGCTGTTAATGAAAGATGAAAATGGTGGTGCACCCTGCCTACTTGCCAGTTTTGCTCTGAGACCCTTCTTCTGAGAGCTCTGATCTCAAGATCTCAGAGGCAGCATTGCCACAGGGATTAAAGCTGGAGTTGGGGGAAGGGAGGCCCAGAGGGAAATAAAGAACCCCAAGTTTGGCTGCTCGTCAGAATGGTACAGCTGGAGCTCTCCCAGGCTGGCTGCTTGGGGAGAGGAGGCCCCATTTAATCAGGCTCCAGAGGACAATCCTGGGAGTCCCTTAGTCAGCCAGAGGGCTTCAGGGCAGCTTGGTCTCTCATCTGCAGGCTGCCTGGGAAATGCATTGCAGGATCAGTGATGTTACCTCCCTCATTTTCCCCGATTCCGATTCCTTTCCTCAAAGGGACCCTGAGCAAAAAAGGTTAAAATATACATATACATATACATATACATATACATATACATATACATATATTACACACACACACATGCGCATACATAAATGTGTGTATATGTTTGTTTGTTTGTTTGTTTGTTTATCTTCAATAGTTCTTGCCCAGCTTTCTGCTTTGCTGTCACTAGTACACAGCTGAAGAACTTAGAGTATCCAGCAGAGGGCACCCAGAGTCACGATTTTTAGAAGGTGCTAGTTTTCAAAACATCTTCCATGTCTGGATTTCAGAGAGAACAGAGGTCCCTGGGAAAGGCAGCTGTAGGCGGACTTTAAAGGAGATATAGAACATTTCCTTCTTTTGGATGAAATTATCCAGTTTCAAAAGGATGTTTTTAGAAGCGAGAAAACAGAGGATGGTCCTCTGCAGACAGTATACCAGGGCAAGTGTGTGTGTGCAGCTACCTGTTTCACGAGAAAACATCCAGTGCAGGAAGAAAAAGGAGGTCCCTGCTCTCACTTGAGGAAGTTTCCTCCTAAAGCAAGAAGAAAATCCCACAATGAATGGTTTGTCTTTATTTTCTAAAATCACGTTGGCATGCAAGAGAAGTGAAAAGGAATTGGGCTTTTCCTTACTTCTATTGTTTTTCCATCCCACTCAAATCCATCCACTGACAGCAGCCTGACTGTTCCTGCCATCACCAGGAAGACGCTCAATTTTGGAACTTTCTCCACTTACACGAGGGGAGTCCAGTATCCTAGTGTTTGTATAGCGACCCATTTCTAGGAATAGTTCCCATGATCACAAATGTTTAATGTCCACTGATGCTTCACAAACTACTATTATTGTAAAGGGTTTGGGTTGGAGTCTGGTGAAAGACATCTCTGGTGAGAGCCAAGCCCTGGAGGAGGACAATGGCAGATGCCCTTGCTCAAGGCATCTTGTTCA